GTCATACGACGATATACAACGCCTCAGTTCGGTGATTCCTGCTATCCTGGCAGCATGGGAGATGATTTATTATTTATTATTAAAGAAAAAGTTTTAAAACTTTTTTTAAATAATATCATCTCCCATACCACCAGGATAGCAGGAGCCACCGAATTGAGGCTTACGAGCATCCCAGTTCGTTCACGAGGCACGTTTATGTCACTGTATATCGTTGATATGACAGTTTTTCTAATCTTCATACTAATCAATTTTATCGATTAATTTCTCGCTTCGGAGTAGAGAACGACAATTTTTCTATATAGAAAAGGTATTTGTCATGTTAAAGGTAATTATTTACTTTAGGGGACCCACCTCCAATGACCTTGATCTTGATATATATTATCAAGGACACTCTCCTAAGTAACCTTCAGAAGGTTTTAGCCGTCGCTCGTTTTTTATTAAAAAGTTATTAACAAAAAATGTTGCACAAAATGAATGTAACTTTTGAACACCGTATATACAAAAACATCGAGTTTGTAAGCTGGGAAGATATCTACTATACATACGCTCGCGCGCGCGCGCACACACACATACACACACACTGTTCGCCAGCAAGCGCACTCGCCCGCCCGACAGGGCGGGCTCGTGGTGGGTGAATATACATATACAGGGTGAATATTATATACCGGAACACCTGAATATCTCGAAAACAAACCGTTGTATAAAAAAATGTTAAATACAAAAGTTGTAGGGTTTAAAAAGATCTATTTTATGATATTAGCAGTTTGACCTTGAGTTGCGTCATAAAGATCAGGTCAAGGTCACAATGATGTTTTTAAATGGATACCCCCATTTTTTATTGTATATTCTTGTAGCTTATCTCGAGAGCTTTCCAAAACACTATACTTAAGTATTTTTTCGTTAAGTACTTTTCGAGTTAAGAGGCTTCAAAGTTACGCTCTTTAGCATTAGCGCGCGTGGATACCGTAGTGACGAGCACGAACGCGCGCTCGTATTAATAGTAAATAGCGTAAGGCTGATGGCCTAAAAAACGTAAACGCAAGGGCAGCTCTCGTTTACCGCGCTTGTGTTTACGTTTTTCTCTGCCTTAGCTTACCTTAATCGGCCGGATATGATTTTCCTCTTGCCTTAATCGGCCGCGCGCTAATGCTAAAGAGCGTAACTTTGAAGCCTCTTAACTCGAAAAGTACTTAACGAAAAAATACTTAAGTATAGTGTTTTGGAAAGCTCTCGAGATAAGCTACAAGAATATACAATAAAAAATGGGGGTATCCATTTAAAAACATCATTGTGACCTTGACCTGATCTTTATGACGCAACTCAAGGTCAAACTGCTAATATCATAAAATAGATCTTTTTAAACCCTACAACTTTTGTATTTAACATTTTTTTATACAACGCTTTGTTTTCGAGATATTCAGGTGTTCCGGTATATAATATTCACCCTGTATATAACACGATATATGCACTCACTGCGAGCCCGCCCTGTCGGGAGGGCGAGCGCGCTTGCTGGCGAGCAGTGTGTGTGTGTGTGTGTATATAGCAGGAGGTACGAAGAGATGGGCAGAATCCCTCTCTTGCACATAAACATGTACCGTTTTGAATATATTATTCGATTTATTACAAAGGAAACATGCAAAAATAATTATATTTTTTAATCATATTCTATTTAATTATCATGAAGAGGATACAATGAAGCCATGATTTCAAAGAACTTATCAATACATTCGTCATATTGATATTTACGTTTGAAAATAAATTCTGCTATATAATGAATGTAATGCTCTTTTCGGGTACCGTATCGTGGAATTCCACCTCGAATATCACGCCATAGACGCTCGATATTTTGAGTGTGTACTCCTGTATGGATCAACAAAATTTTCGCTATGGTTCACTTTCTTATGGATGTAGCTATAATTAGTTAAACAGTCATATGCTCGCCAACAATCACTATGTACAATAGTGCCCGGCACAATACGACGACGTATAATTGGAATTAAAACTTCTGAAGATCTTTTCTCAACGGGTACAACAAAAAAGCGACGAGTGTCTCGTTCCATAGCTCCAAATAACCATTGTCCACTTATAAGGCGTCCACGATGATATTTTCATCTACCGAACTTTGCTTCATCAATTTCTACAATTCGTTTGAACCGCCTATTTGTGTTTCACCATTTGATATTCATTGTGCTAGAAGCTATGTATTTATATGTATATACATATATATTTTCTTGCGTATATGTTTATTTATATGTTTGTCTATGTATATATGTATATAATGCTAATATTAAAGTTATAAAACGTACCTCACGACAAAAATTTACCCAGTCAACAACTGTGCAAGATGACATGGTTAATTCTGTTTGCAAAAATAATTGACGTGGAGTATTTAACAATGTGAAATAAAAATGACATCAAACGACATATGTCAGGTAAATTTAATGCAGCACGCGTAAACCATGTCTCCATTAGAGCACTAATTTTGAAATTGCACGTTTGTTGCTTTCGTTTCCTACCACGAATTTGTTTATAATACTTTCCAGTACAGTGAAAAGTAAGAGACTGCGACAGATGAATATTCAAATGTATAATTGCATTGCACTGTGGACACTTTGTTTGATCTCGAATGACTCCTTTTTCAGCTAAATATTTAACTAGTTCAGTGTAATTATGTGTTAAGTGTAATTATGTGTTAAGTGTAGTAATTCGTGATACAACATATTGAACTAGAAGTGCTCACTTCTAAACGGTAACTGAAGAGTAACTGTCTACATATATGTACAATTCTAACTTTAAAGTGAGAACGTTTGTATATAAACAAGAACTAAAGGTATAGACAAACTGAAGCAATTCTATCTATACGGTGTCAAACAAATCTATATTCTATATATATAACTTGTTTTGTCAATAACTTTTTAATAAAAAACGAGCGACGGCTAAAACTTCTTGAATGTCACTCAGGAAGGTATTCTTGATAATATATATCAAGATCAAGGTCATCGGAGGTGGGTCCCCTAAAGTAAATAATTACTCTAGAAATTTTGCATGCCAATTTCGAAAATATCTCGTAATTCCAAGAGAGGCGCGTTTAAAACATTAAATACGATATTCCCGAACAGCCGAACAGCATAAATTGTAATATTAGTAATATTTTATTATATTTATGTAATAAATACCCTGAGCTACAAATCGATACATTGTGTGGTTTTCCAAAAAAAATTCCTGGATACAGGTTAATTTTGCAGACTAATAGAGTTTAGTAAAAATAGGAACTTTAAGTATTATATTTTCTCTTTGCAGCTATATTGAACTATTAGTTCGTAAATTAATAAGTATATAACTATAGATATATTTTGCAAACAACTCATACAATTTACTTTCATTGAAGATATAGGACAAATGTAAATCAATTTACGAAAATCCGGGATAATAAAAAAGACAGGATTTATCAGAACATTTTATCAATTTATACTATATATATAATTAAGCTATTTATATTATTTATACTATTTACAGTCTGTCAAGTAGGAGCGTGTGCGGGTTAATTTGTAGAAAAAATTATTTAATACAACTTTCAAATATATGGATACCTTGTACTCGATCCGAACAAAGATGCAATTATATTAATAATGCGTCCAGTCACCATCGACGTCGATAATTGCCTGGTATCTTCGAGACATGCTTTCGACCAAGTTGACGGCATATTCGTAAGGACCTCCAAATGCGACGAATTTCTCGAGTTAACTGCTTCAAAGTGAATACTTTTCTTCCACAAAGCTTGCGCTTGATGTATGCCCACGCATTTTCGATTGGGTTTGCGTCGGGCGACTGCGACGGCCAATCAAGTGTAAAGATGTCAGACTACTCCTTCCACTCGGTGCAGAGCTTGCTGCGGTGTTTGGGATCGTTGTCCTCCTGCAGGATTCAGTTCTCGTTGTTTTTGATGAACCAACGTTCGGCAGTCGGCAAAATAAACATTTTTTGTATATTTCGAGCATTTTCGGAGTATTCAGATTGTAGGTAAAAGATGCAAAGCTCCGAAACCTAGTTTTGAAAAGTAGCCCTTTACTGGGTGTTTAACGGTCCGCTGTACCAACCTGTAGGTGGAAGTTGACTAGGCTCGTGAAGTGATAACATATCCCCAATCAGAAACTTCATCCGTAAAAATTACATTGCTCCAATCTCGGTCAATATTGTCCTTCACCCAAGCGAGTCGCTTCGTCACGTGCTTTTCACCTAACAACGGTTTTTTTACGGTACTGCGCCATTTGATATCATGAGCATGGAGATGGGTTCGGATAGCTTCGTGTGTTATATCTAAACCTTTCTGCTTCAATTTTACTGCTCCTTAACGCAATGTTAAGCCAGGATTCCGCGAAAACAAGTTCACTATCATTTTATTGGCTTTAGGAGACACTTTGCCTATCGAACCACGTCAGGCAAGTCATCGACAGTTTTCGTCTCTTTATATCGCTGAACCCACTTACTCACGAATAATTTCGATTTCCCCATGTATTTAGCAGCCGCTGCATGAGACATTTTTGGACCTTTCGGGTTGGGACAGAGGAACAGAGCTTCGTAGCGCGACGCGTACGCGACACTCATAGCGTTTTACGTGTTCATCTCACAAAACTTCAATGTCAACTGAATCTTTCTTGACAATGCATGAAGAGCAAAAGTTTCTCCTATCTACTCACGAAATTAGGACGATATCTTTTACCGACTGTTAGTTATGCCGCACACGCTCTTGACAGACTGTATATAATTAAGCACGAATAATGGCACGCAAAGAAATTGGTTAATTTCAATATATAACGTAAGAAAAACGATTGTTTGTGCTTTCTCGTTTTTGGGGTTATAATTCCGTATTGTTACACAATTATAGCATATAATCCGTAAAGGTGTAGCAGCAAAGCGCGGCTTACTATAGGTGTTGAGCTTCACACTAACGCTATAATTAGGAAACAGGAATCTTAATGTGGTAAGTTAAATAAAAATACCTGAGTAAGCGGACGGCCACGATCATCAGCGAATACTACCCGTTTCTTCTGCTTGCTATTTCCATTGTTGTTTTGAAGCGTGTTAAGAGTCAAAGATCCCGAGGAAAGGCATGGTCTGATTCTGGGTGGCACTGACCTGCTGGTAATCGTCGGTGCTGTTACTACCAAAGGGCTATACAGCAAAGAACTGTATACCGGAGGATTATGCCCCAGGATCAGATCGGCCGGCATCGCTATCGAACACATTTAGACCTACGGTAAAAGAAAAGGACGTATTTTTCATCGTCATTATCACTGAGATGAGTAACATTGAGTTTAATCGAAATTTCATATCTAACATGTGTTTTTGTTTCTGGCCAAAAATCACGAAAAAAAAACATTTCTAAATTATAAGCGAGATATTTCATACACTCATATAAAACCAGGTTCAAGTAATTATAATGAAGTTTATAACAATACACTTTTATATTACATTTTCTAAATTTTATTCTATTAGAATAATATAAGTGTGCACTAATTAATTTTTACTATATGTCTTAACTATTAGTAAGTGCGAATGTTTTACTGGGTTTCAAAAAGATATTGATCCAGTTTTATGGCAGCACTTACAAATATGTAGATGTATACAGGGTGTCTAAATCGTACCGTATCAAAGCTAATATATAGCTACATCCAAAAAAAAGTGTTCTACGTACAAAGTGAATTTTCCTCTAACCTCATGTTCTAAAAGAAATATCTTACAGAAAGCATATTCATCTTTCATTAAAGGGAACCACTCATCATGCATTTATGAGATATTATTCTAATTGTGTTCCTCTTATATCAAGAGAAATATGTTAATTGGAAGCACAATGCCATTTTACGTACAGTACGAGAGACGCGAAGAACTGTTGTTTCGCTGCGTACTGTACTGCGTCGTGTACGATTGGTTGAAACCAAGCGCCACGCTTAGAGTTTCCACCGTCAATTCACTATCGACGTTTCAATCAAATCGACGTTGAAATCGTCAAACCGATGTCAGTTTGATATCATTTTGACGTTAATCAATGAGTCATTTTTCACTGGGTTATCGGAAACAATCTTATTCGGTTAATATTCTCGTATTTTTGAACGAATTCTAAGACTATTTTTCCTCTTGCAAAATGTTATCCGAGGTTTAGTTGCTAAACCCTTATAGAAATATCATACTAAGAATCATTGATAATTACTTATTTTCAGTATTAAAAATACTGGATAATAAGTAATTATCAGTGATTCTTAGTATGATATTTCTATAAGGGAAGTGTAAGGAGAAATAGTTAACCACTCACAGGCCAGATACAGAAAGTAGGCAGGGGCGGCACAATTCACCGTCAGACACAGACGTTGGGCAATACACATGTGACAATATTCATACATCTTATTTTGTAAATTTTCAATGCTTGCGTTAATGTGATTGTACACAATAGTAAATAAATTATTTTAATTTAGTTGAATATGATTATACATAACATGTAAACGTGAAATAGTCGATTGCGTTCGCGCACGCAAACTTGACCTAAGTGCAATATAAACTTTACAAATACGAAAAATTTTAAAAATAAGCACGAGAAGAATGAAACATTAATCGTACAAAGATATTTTTACATTATTTGAGAAAACCGACGTATTTCTTTGTAAAAATTGTTTATCTTGAAAAAGAAATTTTTAATACTACTATCTTTGTTCCTGTAACATTAACGAGTTCATGTTTCTTTCAAGTTTATTAGATCAGATTTGATCGCGAATTGTGAACGTTTTTTGCGTTTCGCGCGCAAAATTCACGAAAACGGAGATTAAAGATACGACGTTTATTCGACTTACAATGAATAGCGTGATTCGCAGCTTCTCTTAAAATTTTCTAATCGGTCTCGTTCGCGTATCTCATCGATGAATGTATCGCTCGCTTGCGTTTAACTCACAAAACGTTGTTAATACCGTAGTTTTTTAAAGCGAACCCACAAGTAATGAATGTGTGTTAAAAACTGTTTTTCAAGATAAAAAATTTTTACAAAGGAATACAAACTCGTCGATTTTCTCAAATAATGTAAGAATATCTTATGCTTTGTACGATTAATGTTTCGTTCTTCTCGTACATATTTTTAAAGTTTTTCGTATTTGTAAAGTTTATATTGCACTTAAGTCAAATTCGTGTGCGCGAACGCAATCGACTATTTCACGCTCACATGTTATGTTATAATTATATTCAACTAAGTTAAAATAATTTACTATTGTGTACAATCACATTGATGCAAGCATTGAAAATTTACAAACTAAGATGTATGAATATTGTCACATGTGTATTGCCCAACGTCTGTGTCTGACGGTGAATTGTGCCGCCCCTGCCTGGCATGTGAGTGGCTAACTATTTCTCTTTATACTCAGCAACTAAGCCTCGAATAACATTTTGCAAGAGAAAAAATAGTCTTAGAATTCGCTCAAAAATACGAGAATATTAACCAAATGCGATTATTTCTGATTATCTTGTAGATGTCACAAATGAAGTCTTAAATAGTTCAATGGGAAGAGCGGTTGCCTGACAAGCGGGAGATCTGGGTTCAATCCCAGCCGAGTCTCATGTTTTTCATCTCATATGGCATTAAAAGTGGACATCTACAGACATACATAAGCACTCCGGTCAAAGTTTTCTGATCTTTCTTTCGTGTGGATGCGATAAAATTTATTAAATTCGGAAAAATATTTTTGAGTTGAAATAATATATAAGAAGAAATTTAGATTAAGAACAAATAGAACATTCAATATGAAATTCTTCTATCTTTAAGAATTGCGTTTAAGATTATTTTCCTCTTGATTTCAAAAGAAACCTCTTAAGGCCATATATCAGTAAAATCTTCTAAGATTTAGAGAATTCCATTTCTATTAAAATTATTTTTTTTAGGTGTAGAATAGGTCAAAGTGAGTAATGGAATCGGTGTCTTTTTTTAAGCAACTACGTAAAATTTTTAGATATTATCGATAAAAGGTTTGTACCTTAGCGCCAACTCAGTTGCCAATCAGTTGCCTAAAAACGCGTTGCTAGGAAGTTGGCCCGGCTAGACTCTCATGCGACAGCGCGTATAGCGTTCATTTCACCGCAGCGCGCATACTGATTGGCTACCACTGAAATATATACTCTTGAGGCGTGCGGGATGAGAGAGAGGTTCCTTGTTTCCTCTCTTATTCTTGTCTAGTTT